CTGAACCCGCAGAGGTTCAGGCCGGCCCTACCCCCTTCGTTCCTTGGGTCTGCGGCGGAAAAGCTTTAACTGCCCGAGAACTGCTCGGGTTGAGGTAACGGGAGCTACTCGGGGCCTGGGAAGGGGGTGCATCCTCTGTGTAACTCGGGCTCTCCTTTCATCACCTGTGAGGTAGGGGGAGGTGTTTCTCCAGCCAGTGACTCGGAGAAGCCTGCGCGTTCCGCCTTAGACACCTTGAGCTCCCCTTCCCTCCACGCCCCGCCAGGACAGCGGGTTTTTCCTGTCCGAGAACTGAAGAGGTTGCGCTGCTTCCTCCTGTCAGTCACCAGTTCCGTCCGCTTTTCGGTGGGGAGACTTGGGGCAGAGCTTCCACCCTGGAACCCAACGGTGCCGACGGAGCGTTTCCATGCCGGGCGCAGTTCTGGTGGTAAAGGCCCCGCCCGCAGCCCCAGCGCCCGTCTCCACCGCCCGCGTGCCTTTGTCTTTCAGAACCTGACCCGGGAACAAGCCGACTACTGCATTTCCCACATGAAGCCCTACATGGACGGCAAGGGCAGGGAACTTCCTTCTGCCTACGACTACGTAGAGTTTACACGTTCGCTCTTTGTGAATTGATGCGGAACACTAGTGCCGAAAGGCGCGAAGAACACGCTCACGTTTGCTGGCTCTGGCTCTGCATGTGTCTCCCCGTGCTCTACCGTACTCGATGTTCCTTGATGATGTAACCTTAAACTGCTTAGCTTAAACCTCCTAGGGAAAACAAACGTATTGCAGTGTGCTTCAATAAAAGTTACTGGTCGAACCACAGCAGCTTGTCTTTAATGGGGAAATGCAAACCCAGCGGTTACGGGGATGGAGCTCCAGCCGCTGCGGTTACGTGTTCCACGGGCCAGCGCTGTGGAAGGGGTGAGCGGGCAACTTTCCCGGGAGTCAGAGCACCACCGACCTTCCCGCGGCAGCGGGTTGTGCTGCTGCCTCAGTCCGTCATCTCGCTCGCCAGCTGCTCCAGGTGCTGCGTTTCCCTGGGTCCCTGCTCCGTGAGGTCGGAACTCAGCTGCCAGACTTTGACCGTACCGGTCGCGTCGCCGGCTGCCAAGAGCCAGGTCTGCTTGGCGTTGAATTCCAAGCAGTACACGGGGCGCTCAGCCTGCTTTATGGAAAGGGCGGGCTTCCGCGAGCTCCGCTCCAAGTCGAAGAGGTGCACCTCTCCTGTAAAACAGAAACGTTCATAGCAGCGTAGGGCAACAGACTTGCATTTCCTGGAGTGATTCTCCTGATCCTGTTTCCCCATCCCTCGCTGGTGTCAGGCTGTGCCAGACGGCTGCCAACACGGCACGTCGGCACAGACCCGCTCTGCCCTCGGACCTGGCGCCAGCCTCCCGCGTTGTGTGGTACCTCCAGTCCTTGGCTCAGAAATGTTTGGACAACCACCTAGAGAAAATCTTCTTGGTTTAAAGCATCAGCTCCAATGAGAGCGTCAAACCCAAGGAAGCTGGAAACAGGTTTTAGTCCTGTTAATCTCAGCCCCAGAACGGCCGTGACACAGAAGGAAAGGTACCGTCGGAAGTGGAAAATAGCCCAGAGAAGCTGTGCATGCCCCATCCCTGGAAGTGTCCAAGGCCAGGCTGGATGAGGCTTGGAGCAACCTGGTCTAGTGGAAGGTGTCCCTGCCCATGGCAGGGGGGTTGGAACTGGATGATCTTTAAGGTCCCTTCCAACCCAAACCATTCCATGATCCTACAATAACTGCGACTGATGTTGTCTTGGTAGTTAGGAATTACTCGTTAACACTAATTGCACAGTACAAACAACGGTCGTCACTTTGCTTGTGGGAAATGCTACTCAGAACAATTAACTTGTACTGATTAATACTCGGCACAAGGTTAATGTTACGTCTGAGAACAGGCCCCTGCCGCTACTTGCCTTCCCCGGACGCAGCCGCAAAGACCAGGGGTCGAACCGGAGACCAGCGTACGCAGAAGAGGTATGTCCGTGCTAACTGCAGGGAAATGAGGGGCTGTGTCTGCAACATGGAGTGCAGGTGAACCTGCCCGTCAGTGCCGCAGCTCAGAAAGAGGTTCCTGGGGGAGGGAGGAGGCAAGAAACAACTTTTTTGGCTTCGTTACTAAAGATACAGGAAAAAAAAATCAGTCAAGGAGCATGACCTTGGGCACGGCTGCTGCTTTGCACGGGAGCGAACGCGTCCCCAGAGGAGTGGTTTCCCAGCTGTGCCCTGGGGTGGGGGCTGCAGGGGACACAGCTTGGTCACTGCCCTCAATTAACTACTGAGGGCTCGTTTGGCTGCCCAGCACTGATGGCAGGTTGTGGGCCCGGAGATGCCGGGGCCGGGCATT